AATCTGCTTCCCTTTTACTTCCTTCCATCGCTAGTAGTTATGCTATCTGAAGGAATGTAGGAATGTTTCCCATCTGACAGCCTTTCAAAAAATTGAAAACAATGATTATGTCATCCAACACTCGGAGTCTCCAGGTTAAAAAAAAAGTGAAAATCACTTTTTCAACTATTTCAAGTATGAATCAACTCCCAGACTGCTTTCCATTTAGTTATCCTCCTTATGTATTACCTTTAAAAACTGTCAAAATTTGCTTCATATTTATTGCCCCGTTTTATTACTACAATAGCATTCTATGGTAAGCTGGTCAGGTATTGTTGCATATTGCCATTAAACTGATTCAAGAATTCTATTTGATCAAAAATTTTATTTATCGGCTGTTAAAAAGCATTGCCCAAAGCACCAGGGGAATGAAAAAAGCAAAAGGATTCCATTCACGCTCTGGGGTTACAGGATAGCTCACACAGATTAAGGATAATAATACACTAAGGTACAAAGTGCCATGAGATTCCCAGAGGAAGTCTTCAAGAAGTTGAGGGGCCATGACCTTAAGAATGAGGTGGCACTTGGGAGTTACTGGATGGCTGAATTTCAAGAAGGGAAATGGCAGGTGAGGATTGCTAAGGAAGAATGCAGCCTAAGCAAAATGAACACATAAAGGAATGCATTGTTTGCTTTCACTTAACACCGAATACTCTAGATGTGCTGGCTCACACAGGCCAAAGAGGGGAAAGACAGTAACGCAAAGACTGCAAAAAGTTCTTGAGGGTCCTGAAGAAACTGTATGTGGTGAGTAAGGAGCACTGGGATCATCAATTAATTGTTCCGATCCTTATTCTGTCACCCGCAAATGAAGAGCTTGAACTAGATCAGCAGTTTTCAGTCTTTTTTCCACCCAGCATGCCCAAGGGATACAACCCCGCACATTAGAACAATGAATCATTACAACAGTAATTCTTGCAGAATATGAGTATGTATTATTCTCAATACCTTTTATACATGGGAAAAAGAATTCGAGAGGTGAAAAGAAGCACAGAATCAGTAAATAGTACTCCCTGAGCTCTCAGTACCCCATTTTAGTCACCACTCTCTCTTTGGAACCTGGCACACGGCCTAGGATGTAATACCTGTTTACTTTTTTTTTTTTTTCTCCTTAAATGAATGGGATGAGCAAATAGTGAGCCCTGGCCAAAGCCCTTTTCTTTCAGTTCATCACTCAGCCTCCCCTGACATGCATTTATGTAGTTACAAAATTCATACTGGATGTCGATTAGAGTGTTCTTCAGACTCCCAGCCTCATACTATCCATTAGACTACTCTGCCATAGAATCAGATAGCAGTGACGAACTCAGAATTAAAAAATAAATAAATAAATAAATAAATAAATAAATAAATAAATAAATAAATAAAAAGTTATTTCCTTCTATTTGTGCACAGTCTTAGAGGTAAAAGTAGATGCTATGGCAAGTTATGTGAGGGTCCTTTGGCAAGTATTTCTGAACAAAAATATTTTATCCTCAGGTCTGTGAATGGCCCTGCAATGTCATAATTAGTGATAGATACACTGAATTACAGATGTTAGAACTGAGTCTCAAAGGTCATCTAGTCCAACACCTTCAATTGTTTGAATTAGGAGGCTGTTCCTCAAGAGATCCTAATTAAAAAGTATATGCCCCTGGGAAAAGTAACATTTTAAGTTATTATGCATCTATACATAGGGAAGAAATATGAGTTTAGTGAGAGCAAACTATACCAGAAAGAAAAAAGAGGGTCATATCCAGAAAGAAATAAAGATTAGGAAGACAGAGAGCAAGATGAAAGGGAAGAAACAAGGACTTCACTTATGAAATAGATTTATTTGGCACATAGCTAGGAAATAAGTTACTTTGAAGCAGTAGTATACACTTGGCGGCAGAAAGCCATAGCAGGTGGAAAGATTCATCTTACTGTCTCACCTAAAAGGATTAAACTATAAACTAGGTGATAAGTATATACAGCAATATCATGAGAAGAAACCAATACAGCAGAGAATTCATAATTTTACTATGAACTGAGACTGTATTTTCAACTAGAAAATAGAGATGTCACCAACCTTATCTATCCCTTCTAGTTGTTATGAGGATAAAACTGAAGGATTCAGGGCAAAGCTTTGTTTACCATAAACCAAAACACAAATGTAAGCTGTTATACTATAATATAGTTCAAACTCAAAACAGCAAACATTTAAAACATTCAATGCTGAAGGCTAACTTAGCTATTTTTCATTCACATTTCTTTCCTAAAATTTATGTTCAAACAGGTAATACTGGAATTCATTCTTGTTCTTAAAAAAATGTATACAAGTCAAAAGTTCCTCTTGATTCCCATCCAATTCCACCCAGAGGGAGACACTCCTGTCAATAAGTATCTGTCCAGATTTTGGGTGTGTGTGTGTGTGTGTGTGTGTGTGCACCTGCGCGCGTAACACAAATAGGATCACATTGTGCATAGTTCAAACAGGTAATACTGGAATTCATTCTTGTTCTTAAAAAAATGTATACAAGTCAAAAGTTCCTCTTGATTCCCATCCAATTCCACCCAGAGGGAGACACTCCTGTCAATAAGTATCTGTCCAGATTTTGGGTGTGTGTGTGTGTGTGTGTGTGTGTGCACGTGCGCGCATAACACAAATAGGATCACATTGTGCATGCTGTTCTGTGTTCTGTTACTTGCCTTTTTCATTTAATAATAAATCCTGGGCATTTTCCATTATCAACAGATAAAAATCTACCTCATTGTTTTGAAACTTTGCACAATATTTCCATAGCATAATCTATCATTGTCTATTTAGCATTCTTTATCAATGGGCATTTAGGTTGAACTCATTATTTTGAATAACAAAAAATACATGTGCATTAACTATGTTATTGTTTTAATGGGAAATTTCTTTCTAAAGCTCTGGGAATTAGTAAAAAAGAAAAAATCCAGAAAGACATGCATGGAAGCTGTTTAACACACAGGTGGCAGAAAGTATTCTCTCATAAAATCCTTTTTGCACTTTGGAATAATCCAATTGAAAAGTAAAGGACAAGACTCCAGTTATGTTACAGTCTTACTCCATGTTCAGGCCCCTTGGTTGTCCTGTACTGGCCCCAACTGGCAGGCTCAGAAATAGTTGTACTCAGAGGTCAATTTAGTAAGAAACCAATGGAGCTTATAATTTAGGACCCCTCACCTGCCTGTGGACCCCTCCAAGTCTAGAGCAATGTATTCACATGATCATATGGTTTTGTAATATTTTGCGATGGAATTTTAAATTATTCAATTTTTAAAAATGTTTTAATTTTAAATTTTAAACAAGTTGAGGACAGCAGATAAAAGCCTAAAACTTGGGAATACTAAAAATGAGGAAAGTGACTCCTGTAGAATAGGGTCATAAATCTTGCAACTCACACTTCAGCCCAATGAAATCTACTATAAATCTTATTTTTCTACCAGTACCAGGGACATTCAGACTGATAGGAGCTGTAAGTTAATGAAACATAAGACTTTGGTGCGTTACCTATATTTGAATTTAACCATGACTAATTATATGAAATATCTTTAATGGACTCATATCTTACAAATTTTTCACTGACAACCTTTTTTGTTCTCTTGTATTTAGTGTTAAGTTCTTAAAGTTTTCCAAACTTGACAAGTTCCTGATAAACATATTTTAAGAAAAACAAGAAAATAGAGACAAAAAATAACATACAATTTACTCTTTGAAAAACATAAGTATCAACAATTTTGATGGCTACATATTTTATCATACTGATGTATCATAATTTGTCATTTCAGAATGCAAATTGTTCATTTCTGATAAAGTTTTTAAGTACTAAATTCATGCAAATTTTTAAAAATTATAGAATACGGAAATAGAAATTTAAGATTTTTTAAAGCTTATTTAAAAATACATGATAGAGTAGTATATTGTTGAGTAATCTTTTTTTTTTTTTTTTTTGCTAACTTGATAGGCTAATTCCAAAATTTATATGGAAATACAAAGTGCCAAGAGTAGCCAAAGACACTACTGAAGAACGAGCAATATTGCAATGTGGTAGGGTTTTACGGGAGATCAAGACTTATTAGATATCTATAGTAATTAAGACAGATGCTAACAAATATACTAATATGAAAAATGATGCTGGGACAACTAGGTAACAATGTCTTAGTCTCACTTAAAAAAATTTTGAAAATTGATTCTCAAGAGGTGGTTTTCTTAGAAAGCTTCTGAAATTCCTTTTCATAGTGTATTTATGTGATTAATAATATTACCACTATTCTACAATTATCCAAGTATTTTCACATATCTCATTTTGTCCTTGCAACAAGCCACTAAGAGAGGCAAGACAAAAATCTGACATTCAATTGATGAAGAAACTGAGGCTCTGGGTTGTTTTTTTTTCCTTCAGTTCTGTGCCCTATCTTTTAGTTGAATCTCTCTGACGAATTTTTCAAAGGAATTTGAAAAATTCCCCAATTATCAGGGTCTAAAGATTCAACTTGTCAATTACATAGGCTTTTTTCCTTTTCCACTCTGCCTTTAATTCTCTTTCAGAAAGGAAGATTTAGGAGCTAGATGACATCCAATCCTAATCAGTCCTAACTCTGCTTATCTTTGTCAAATCAGATGGGAAATACAAATTTTCTTACCCCTAGAAGTACAAGTGAAACAACCAATTACTGAATAAAATTTCACTTGTCTATGACCTATTATCAAAATATTTGCAAACTGTGTTAACTACTCTATATCCTAAAATGAGAAGTCTTATAAACCCAAAGCTCAGGGTGACAACCTAGACTGCAGAAATTAAAAATCAAACTGCCAAGGCTCAAGTCCTGGCTCTATTATCTTCTTAGCTGTGTGATCTCCTGGGCGTTTCGTTATCTCTTGGGGCTTCAGATTCCTTAGCTCTAAAATAGGGGTTAAAAAATGTTTTCCTAAGGATTAAGAGATAATGCACACAAAGCATTTAGTTTAGTGTCTAGCACTTAAATATTGATAACTTGGTACTATCATCGGCATTAAACATTCAGCAGACAAGATATATCTACCCATTTTACCATTCAATTCATAAATGACCACACTTTGAAATACACTGTAACATACACCTAATATGTTGGTTTTTAAGATACTACAACCAATACACTCAATTCTCTTCAGAAGTTAGCCAGATATAACTTTCCTACACCTTAGAAAAAGGGGAGCTGGAAATAGTTACTGGATCAATCAAGGGTGAGGCTGAAATTGAGAGCTTTGTTGTTAATGGAAGTAGATTGTGATATATACAGGAAATTTGCTTAAATTGATATGAAGCTGTAATGTGGCTGAATGGTGATTTCTATCTTGATAATGGACTGATGCAACCTAAAGAAGGGTCAGTGTTACTGCAGTATTACAAGCCCTGTTGAAAGAGATGGATGATGCAACTTCTATAGCAAGAATGGAGTCAACTCTGAGTCACCAGTGTAGTCTTTGAAGAACACTAAAGGAGAGAGGAAAATTCTTGAGTACTGACTCATTCAGCATTAGTAAATTATAAGTTATTTCACTGCTGTTTGGACACAGTATCGCCCCTACCCATGAATCTCAAAAATACATTTAGTGGGAAAAATACTGGCTTCATCAGTTCTTAAGACACCGTCCCATGCATTTTCTGGAAGCATCTCAAAATACTGTTATGAAGTCTTTGGCCTGTCCATGGTTTGAAGCATCCACATTTAAATGAATTCATTAATTTAAAAAAATTGTTAAGAGTACTGGCTATGGAGTCATGCTGACCTGGATATCAATCCTAACTCCATTCTTTACCAGCTCTATGACTGTTAAGGTAATGAATCTTTCTGTCTTGATGTTCTCATCTGGAAAATGGGAAATGCCAAATATTGAACAGTAAAGACATAGGAACATAGGAAACATAACAATGTTTGGCACATAGTAAACCTGAAGTAAATAGTAGCCTCTATTACTTTTTTGCTACTGGGGTGATATACAAGAGTAAGACATTATCAAGAAGTCTTTGTGTATCAAATGCGTTTAAGCACAATCAGACCAATTACAAAAAAAAGTGAAGGTAGGAAGGTATCAAGAATAAAGGATAAGGAAGTCCTTGTAAATTATAACCTGAACCACAAAGGGAATCCACGGACGGGGTGTGGAAGGGAAGGGAGGTAGCACATTAGAAAAATGACACATCCCAAGGTGGGAGCGGTCATTAGTAAGCTCTTCGGGAGAGTTCCCATTGTGGGGAAGGAACTCAGGGATGGGAGACAATTACTGTTGCCAGGGACTTACCGTGGGGCAGGGCCCTGTGGGGAGGCCCGGTATAGACAAAGATAGTTGGGCGAGGGGGTGCAGGGGCCACACACTGGCTAGAAGCCATGATTCGCGGTTCGACGGTGCCCAAACCAAGACCCCAGCTCCAGGGCTGAGGGCCGGTGAGCAACAAGATGCTCTGAGGGTAGGACACCCTAGTACCGGTAGTAGCTATGAAGGGCAGAGAAATTTGTTCTGAGGTGATCACAGAATCTACGCTGAGACCCGCACAGAGTGGAGGAAGAGCCGCTTTCCACTTCGGGACGAGGGACAGAGGAGTGGCCAGCGAGTGGGCAGTGGGGAAGTAAAGGACTCAAGTCCCACGGCCTCGGGGGAATCGAGTACGATAGACTAGCTCTTGCCCCAGAGGGCCCAACATGGAGGAG